GGGCGGGGGTGGGGTGAAGGGGTTTGCTCATTTTCTGTTTCTCTTTCCAATTAGAGGGTGTACTGGTGAGAGGGTTATAATAGCTTAAAGAAAGCATTCCAGTTCCTATGAACAGCAGTTATTCTGGTTATAGAGTAAAGCTTCCCCCACTGCCCCCTCCTTGTTTTGATTTGCAGAGATGTTTCTCCCTTTTGTAACGGGAGGTGCTGTTAGCCCCTTCTGTCTGTTCACACAAGCACCTTTTCTGTGCTACTAAATCACTCCCCAAGTACTTGCTTCAATGTATTTGACTTGCATTCCAATGGAAAAAAAAAAGGAAAAAAAAAAAGCTTGAAGAAATATTACTTGAATGTTTCCAAAACTTCAGCCTCATGCATCAAAAAACATACTGTCTCATAAAAGAAATACTGATGCCATTTGTGGGGTTAATGAGAAGAACTATTTTAAAGGAACAAGGCTGGGGAAAGTTGTCTCATGACTTGTTACTTTTTTACTATATATGTGTCAGTTCAAAGTGACCTGCAAAATGTCTTTGGAATTTCATTAGCTCTGTTCTGTGCACAGGCAGACAACCAGGTGGAGCAGAACAGAAAACACTTCTATGAGCTGTCCCTCGAGTATGTGTGCAAGTTGCAAGAGATACAGGAACGGAAGAAATTTGAATGTGTGGAACCTGTAAGTATCTGTGAATTCAGTTTTTAAGAAAGATGCCTACCCTAGCATGAATAAAGGGGAGAGAGAAGGAATGAGAGTGGCCAAAAGGCAAGGAGATAAGTGCTGTTTTCTGAGACAATGTATGGCATTTAAAGCAGTCTTTTTAGTTTGCACATCTGTGGAAGTTCCTCATACAGACACAGTTAACCAGACAGGACAAATCTTTTTGTACTTCAATTTGTAATTGAAGTTTTCATTAGAGATTATTTACTATGAAATCAAGTCAGATTATCAAGTGAGGTTGTTTACTAACAAGTTCTTTTTCCCTATTTTCTACTTAACATATATTTTCCAAATCTTGATCTTTGGATAGTCAGGCTGAAAATAGCTTATCTATAAGGGATTTTCAACTTTAGAAAATCCATTCTTTGCTCTGTTCCCTTTAATAGAGTTGTTCTTTCCTTTGTCACTTGCTTCTTTGTAACATCCTAAAGCAAACTGAAGAAGTGGGCACTACTGCACCTCACCCTATTTTTGGTGTGTTATAACTTTTTCTTCCAAGCCAAAAGACTGAAGTCAGAAACTTCAAAATGGATCATTTTCTTGTTCTGACAGAAGGTCATATTTACTTACAGGTAAAGGTAGTGAATGGTACTCATCACAAAAGGTAGTGATGCGTAAGGCTGCTGCAGAGGAAGCTTCCTGCTCTACAAAGATTATTTGACCCTGCTGCAGTGGGTAGAGGAATTCCTCTCAACAGGGTCTCTAGCAGGGGGTGGGTTGACCCAGAAAGTAGTGACTATAAGACGGAATTACTATTGTCGCCTTTTATACAAATATTTATTTCAGATATCATTGGTATTAGGCCAACTGTGAGGTTTCTTAAAATACTAAAAACAATAATCCTGTCCTTGTAACTGGAGGTTTGCTTTGTAACAGATCTTTTGTTTTGTATTTTAGGTGTTATCATTTTTTCAGGGTTTGTTCACTTTCTACCATCAGGGATATGAACTTGCCAAAGACTTCAATCATTACAAAATGGCCCTACAGATAAATATACAAAATGTAAGTTGGGATATTATATTTACTCCTTTTTATTTTTTTAATAAAAATATGCAGTTAGTTACTCGTATAGATGCAGTACCTGAATTGCTTATAGTCTGCTGCTTGTTAACTTTGGGGGTATAGTGCCATCTTCTGGCTAATTACATATGACTGAACAAATCACAGCTAACTTCAGTGAACTCTTATCTAGTGGTTTCTAATTGTCCTTGAAAATAAAGTGTAAAAGGCCTTTTTTTTTTTTTTTTTTTCTTCTTTGAGGTGTTCGTCACTAGAGATGAGCTTAGGACTGACAGCAGAAAGTGAGGGGGGTGACAGGCTGAAGCAAGGGGATTGGCAGGCTTCATATTCAGATGGTCTGTTTACTTCCTCGAGATTTGTCATGGAACAAAACCTTCTCAGAGGACCTTCGCTGTGGCAATGGCATTATGGTGGAGGAAAGAAACCACATAACGTTTTGGGAGACAAGCAGTTCATGATCTGTTCTAGAATTAAGATACAGAAATAGTTTCTGGGAAGTTATAGTGTGTTTCTGGAAATGACTTAATGCAAGCAACCAGCTATAGGAGGGAGACAGGAAGGCAAAAGAGGGGCTTACAGGTGTGGATACACAGTGAGTTGATTCATGTGTCACAATACCATTCTTTTCATTTTATTTCCGTATGCCTAAGTCTTAAGTTTTCTCTTGAGCCATTGTTTGGCTTGAGTAGGGGAACTGAACAGTGATAACTTCATAAGCATTCATGGCAGTCAGTGTTTCTGGAGGAAACTTACTCCTATCTATTTAGCTTAAGGGAATGAGGCGCAGAATGGAATGACAGTAGGTAGAATGTAAAGAAGATAGGCAAGAAATGAAGAATGAGAGGGAAACTAAAATGTAGTTTTGAAGTGGAAGATGAAGAGCTGGACTTCAGATTGCAAATGGAAAAGGGCCAGTGAAGTTGTTTGAGGAAGTCACGAAAGCAGTAAGAAAGCAAGCTAATCTCAACAGCCACATTTTCAGTTGGCAGAACATATTATAGTGTGCCTTGGGAACTATTGAAGAGATTGAGCACTGCAGCTGAAATTTTATGAATAGGTAAAGGATGGCCTGAGTTTAAATATACTCTAGAGAAAGGTTTGATAACTGTAGGAGGTAAGAGGAGAATTAAAGGAAGAGTCTGAGAAGACTTTGATTCCTTGTCTGTACTGGAAAGTTTGCCCCTGAAATTTTCTCACTTGTCTATGTGTTTGGAAGCAACTAGACACAATGGGACTTCTGAATGCCAGTTTCTTTCAAGCAGGTCTAAACTACATAGGTGACTGGGCTTTTGTAACAGTGTCTGTTTTTTTCCAGGGGAAGCTAAATTTTTGATAATGCATCGATGATGCAAAATTTCCAGAGATATTGAAAAAAAAAATCCCAATCTTGCTTGCTCTCCCAAAAGAAAACCTCCTATTTTTAGTCTTCCATGAATGTACATGTGGACCTATGACAGCCATTCCAAAAGCTTTTAGCTCTGTTGTCTTCTGCCTTCTTTTCTGCATCAGTGTGGGGTTCTGTATCAGTGTAAGACAGGCTGTCTCAGTGCAAAAGGAGATAAGAAGGTGATGGAGAAGCAGCATCCCTTTCCTGGCAGTTAGCCAGGCATTGTAGAGAGAGATGCAAAAACACCTACAGCCTGGTGTTCTGTTCTTGGTCCAACTTGCTTTATGTATTCAGTGCTCTTAAGTAAAATTCGATATAATAAAGTAAGATAATAAGAGCACTCTCTTTTGGGCTCTCAGGTGAGAGGGAACTTAGAAGGAGTGATAGGTGAAGGAAGTTGTTAGATAGGTACATCTGGAATTTTCTGGAGGTTTGTGGAGCGCACAGAACTCCATCCTGACTTTCCCAGGACACGTTTCAAATAGCCACATGTGGACACACAGCATAGCAAATACAGGCATCCTCATTCTAAAGTGTCTCAGCCAGGAGTGATCAACGGCCAGATTGGGAGGTTTAGGTGTGAGCTGTCTGTCACTAGCAATTTTGGTATTTATCCTAGCTGCAGAATATAATTTTCAATTCAGTCCTTTTAGGGAGTTACGAAAAAAAGTTTATGTATGGGATCTATCTCCTAAACTTACAAGCAGATGTACGAAGAGATTGAGAAGGTTGATGTGGGAGCAGTTGTTTTGCCTGAGGTTAAGGAGCTTTCCTGTATAAAACACATGGGCATGGGCTTCTCTGACCAGCTTGCTGGGACTGTATTTGTGCTCGTGAATAAATGCCTTTCAAGCATACATCTGGAATCTGCACGTACAGATGGCTAGCCAGGCACACACTGTCAGCTGTTTGTGTACAAGAATGGATAGTTGTTTATATTCATGATATATTTGTTTAGGTGTGCAACTCTTTTTTTAAAAAAAAAAAAAAACCCGAGGCACCATTTTCAGAAGGTGGTTCATTTTCAGAAAATTTAAGATGTTTTTACAAAGCTGTAGGATATACAAGCATGCACCTGGAATTACATACGTTCCTCAAAATTCTTGTATCAACTGGGGAAACCACCAACCTGGAATTTGTATTTTCAATTTGTGTGCTCTGGGTAAGAAGATATACAATGGAAATTAGTTATTACTAAGGTGATTGTATTTGTTATTTACTTATTGGCTAACTGCCAGTGTTTCTCAAACCAGAGTTTCATACATGAAGTGTGAGCTATTCCTATTATCTACTTTTTATATAGTTCCATTGTAGGGCATATGGATGGATTGTTCTTAGTAATAATCTAATAAATATTTCTCCTACTACTGATTACAAACTTCAAGGCGCGGCATTCAGGAATAATAAACCGGCCTTTGTTTTTGTTTTTGTTTTCTTTAAATGCACACAGATATTTTTTGTCATACTTCTGCATTTGTGTGACTCTCTGAATAGTTTCCACATGCATAAATTGTTGGTGACCGTGTCACATTTTTCTTCATAACTGTCAGAAATTCTCACCTTCCTGAAAATCAGTAAGAATGTCACAAATTAAGTGAACACCTACGATAACATTTTTCTTAGAAAGATGGAATATTCGAATCCAAACTCAATTTTGAATTAATTTCTATCAATTAGTTTGAATTAATTCTTAATTCAACTTCTGAACAGGTTAAACACAACACACATTGCTTTAGAAATCTACTCTGGCATACTTTGTATGCTTTCCACAGTTACAGCAGCTAATTTCTAAAAGACAGTGAAAATTTGAAGAGGAAAGGTGCATGGAAATTTTGTGCTGATCATCCTAAAATGTCTCTAACCACTTTCTAATTTCATAAATAATTGTTCTTATAATGCTTATCTGCCAGGCAGAGTCAGCTTTTCTTCCACTCCCTCTACTAATAGGTTTTTGCTGTCTTTTCTTAGACAAGAAATCGTTTCGAAGGTACAAGGTCAGAGGTAGAGGATCTCATGAACAAAATCAGAAGGAATCCTCAGGAACATAAAAGAGTAAATCACTTCACAATGGAAGGCTATCTTTATGTACAGGAAAAAAGTAAGATATATTTTTATATTCCAGTAGTGTCCATAATGTACATGCAGACAAGATGCATTTCTGCTTGTTGTATGAAGGTGCAAGGAACATACAGTTTTTTTAAACAATCGTCTGAACAAATGTTTGAACTCTAAGGGCAGCATTGCCTGTGTTCATAAAAAGAGTATAGTGCTGAAAGTATGACAGCTATGAACAAAGGCAAATGAGGAAGTATTGTTTGATTGAAGGGTGTACTCACTTTTATATCCTAGTGACCTTCCCCAGGGTTGTGAAATACTTGCTGTTTAACAGCAACAGGAGTTGTCAAACTATTCTGTAAAAATTGGGCTACTTTAGTGTGATGAAATCAGGTGTCTTTTCCTTTATTAAGTGATGTGCTTTCATTATGTGCTTGAAATTATCGGGTCAGATAAACCAGGCATTGTGCTAGGTAGCCAGTGTCAAAAAACTTCCTCTGCAAATGTATGCCACACAAATCATATGTCAGTACTTCAAACAATTACAAATTCCTCCTCATAGGAGAAAAGTCAAATAAGATACAAAGCTCTTGCATCTCAAAAAATGACTATGGCCTCAACTTCTTTTGTTATTTACAACAACCTTTTTATATTAAGTCATGTATTCTTAGGAATTAAATGGAACTAAAAATGTCATTCTGGGAAGCAGGTGAAAGAAATGCACAAAATTCAAGTAGTTCATGCTAGTTAAGCTTTCTGTTTTTTTTTTTTTTTTTGTAGGGCCTGCCCCCTTTGGCTCCAGTTGGGTGAAGCACTATTGTACCTATAGGAAAGACACAAAGAAGTTCACAATGATTCCATTTGAGCACAGGTCAGGAGGGAAAGTTGTAAGTATATTTTTATATTCTACACTCTGTATTTAGATGAGAGGATGTATTAGATATTCTTCTCTTTGCACCACCTTTCCTTTTTTCTTTTTCATGCAGTTTAGTCTGCCATTTAAAGATGTTAATCTAAAGTAATGGAATATTTTAACAGATAAGAATTCAGCAGAGTTTTCAATTGCTTTGAAAAGACTAGAAAATATGTGGCAGTTAACATGCATTTTTTTCCACCATTTACAATCTGGTTTATCCATGAGGTATTTAACTTGTTGAAGTGTAAATCAAGAAATCAGATTTAGAAATTTCTTTCTTATCTTACACTCACAAGTCAGAATTTTCTTCAAAGGCGAATAGATGTAAGTACTATAAGAGGTAGTAGAAAAGAGGATTTTAAGAGGAATATACTTCATATTGGAAACTTAATATAATTTCAGATATCTTCTGATATCAACTAAAATATTCAGGACTTAGTGCTGTGGTCATTGAATGCCTTTATTTCTATTTGAAATAATTGGCAGTTGTGGACAGTCAGCACCTTCAAAGATGGAACATTAAACAGATGCATTTGTATGGATGAAATGCATTTTATTGCAAGAAAAAAGATATCCAAAGCTGGAAAATATTCTTCAGTCAATATCCCTGTAAATGCAGCACCCCGTCCTATCTTCAAATTTGGTTAGAACATTACATTGTTGCAATTTTATCTGGATATTATATCCCATTAGTCTGAGTAGAAGGGAAATGGTTTTCATCATTTTGAGGGCTCTGTATGTATGTATTTATTTAATTTGCCAATATTTTGAATTTGGGACAGTCTTTCAAATGCTTTAGAGAACATGCCATACTGAAAATTAGTGGTATTTGGCTTCCTTAATCATTTCCATACTTTTATGAATTTTGTCTTGTAGTTTACTCTAATTGTCATAAGCTGTTTCAGGTAATATGGTACTTGAGTGAGGATCCGGCATTCCAAAACACTATCATGAAGCCATTTTTTTCTGTATCTGAAGAGCTCCCTTTTTAAAACCCACAGTGCAATTTCTCCTTTAGTGAAAACCTTCTGTGTTTGGAGATGTTGCATAAGACGAAAACTAATTTAAATACACAATTAATCCTGACTTAAAACTGATATAATTCATGCAGTCATGTGTGAATTCTATTGCACGTGTCAGATTTCAGTGTAGCTTTTGCTACTGCTTTAGTGTAGATTTATCTTACTCAGTTTGTTTCTCTGACTTGCAGAAGCTTTCAGTTACTGTGTCAAGCAAATCTTTCCACAGGGTGATGAGGAGCTCTTCATCCTTACCTACTGTACCAAAAGGAATACAGACACTACAGACAGGCGATTCTGTTTTGACTTAGAAGCATCAGACAGGTAAACTGATGAAATGCACTAGAAAGTACCCAGAGGAAATATTGCTAGAGTTTTGTTGCTGTGCATTATTTATTTATTTATTTATTGGTGGTCTGGGAGGGCTGCGTAGGGTGGATTCCTTTTATGGTGCCTTTACATCTGCCAATGGGAGCTGATCACTTGAGGGGCAGCCAGACTTTATCATAACTCACTGGGTTTTACATCAATTATGTGTAGCAGAGGTTGTGAGGATCTATATTGAAATGTACCCATTGTCTGAGAGAAGAAAACCAGAGAAGAGATATATAGTAGAGATTTTAGATGCTGTGATTTTAGCAATAGTATTATAAACTGCTGTTATCATAGTGAAGAAATGTGACCTGAAGTACATGTAGCTGCAGTGGAAGGCTGTTTTCACAGTGGATAATTCATACAATCATGACCATGTCATATTATAAGTCTGCTTTCCAAAAATGTCATGTTGATACTTACAGATTTTTATGTTCAAACGAAAACTGAGATGGTTGTTCCTCTTCCTTTATATCCTGATGTTTATGACTCTGTGCTCTGAGGATGCCAGCAGCTTGGCTCAATCTCAGGAAAATATGTGCTGTTTCTCTGTTTTTGGTACTCATGTTAACATCATGTTAACTGGAGGTAAACTTAGGAAAAAAAAGTCCTTTTTTATCAGCTAACTATTTGGGGTATTTTTCTTAGAATGATTCAGAGTGATTATGTTTTTATGGTCATGATGGTTATAGCTCAGCGTTGCAAACTGACCAGTTTGTACTGAAAAAACTCATAGGTCTTTGGAAGTTGCTTTGCTTAGGATTGTTACTATAACAGCAGTATTTAAAGATACTATGAAGGTTTTTAGTTACAGAAATTAAGGGAAATTCATAGACAAGGCTTCCCATACCCACTGCAAGAGCTAAATGTCTGTCATAGACAGTATTAGGATATTACATTTTCACAACTTGAATCTGTAGAATTCTATATTGTTATTAAATTCAGAGACCAGATAAGGAGAGGTAAGAATGCACTAGAAATGTTTCTGTTTGTAAAAACATGAACATAATTTGTAGTCTTTTACAGTTTAAAAGTAGAGGAGAAATTTGAACTCATTTTCACTATGTTTTTTTTTTTTAAAGAAATATTTCAGCTAGGTTTGCTACCTTTTCAGCTAGGTTGCTACCTGAAGATAGGAATGAAGAGTATTAAAGCACAGCATTGTCTCCACCCTCCATACCCGTCTCATATGAAATTTGACTATCTCTAGTTAGATTTACATATTTGCTGAAAATATTGGCAGGCTGGGTAGATTTTTTTTTTAATTATCAGGAAACTAATTACCTAAATAACCTGTTTGTTTTTGACTTTCCTTGCTTTGTACACTACGCTGAATCACAGAATTACTCTCTCCTTTTTTCTCTTTCTTTTTTTTCTTATACAAATACAGAAATAGATTTATGATGTTCTCTGCTCACTAATCCCTATATTCTGCCGTTGCCCATCCTTGTTCTTTTAGAAGGTTGTAAATAGGGACTTGTATAATTAGGTACTGCATTAAGACTTTTTTCTTTTGTATAAAAAATATTGACTATAAAACTGTAGTCATTTGTGTCACTGCTCCAAAACTGAAGGCTATGCATCAAGTAAATTGGAAATAGAATTTGACAAGACATTGTTTTTGTTGCTGATGAATGCAGTTATTCTGTATGCTTGATATTGTTGTAGACCTGGTATTCCTGTGACCATGCAGGCCTTTTCTGAGGAAGACAGGAAGCTGTGGATGGAAGCTTTGGATGGAAAGGAAGCTGTAAGCTATATTCTTTATGTTCAGTAATAGTGTAATGGTAGCATTCCTCCCACCCCCCTCCAAATCATGTTTATATTTTAATATACTAGGTTTATGTAACTCTTGAGACAGTGAATTTAACAAAGAAATAATAAAATTGGAATAATACTCGAGATAGATGAGTGACTCAGTAAAGCTCAAGTTAGATCTCTTTTGCTCTGGTAATGAGGTGTTTTTCTTTATAATGACAGGCATTGATTTATATAAATGTTACCATCACAATGATGTTAGGGTGTTCTGTGGTATATGTAATATAGATATATTCTCCTAACCTTAAGCTGGTATACTGCCTTCCAGTGACAAGACTTGCACGACTTACTCATGTGGTATTATTTTCTTAAAACTAGATCATAAAGTACGTGTCATAGGGGCTTAGCTTGTACTTGAGTTTGCTTAATTTGTGTTTCCTATCAAGAAGTGGGACTGAAACACAGAATTAGAACGTAAGCAGTGGGTTATTCTTACCATTGTAAATATTGTATTAGTCCTGCAGGCCAAAAATAACAGGGTTTTCGGTCAGTGACAAAATTGTTTTTTTGTCACAACAGTTGGTGGATTTTGACAGTTGGTTTTATGGACATCTGTGTCACAAAAGTTTTTTTTTTTTTTAACCTGCAAAGATGTGTATTAACTGCACTGGCCTCCCCAGTCAGGTTCAAACTTCTAGGAATGCCAGGTAGTGATCTAGTGCCCCTGATGCATTCAAGCAGTTCACATGGATTTCAGTGAACTGTGGGAAATCAGCCAGCAGAGGAACACAACAACAAGAAGCACTTAAATCACAACTCATTTTAGAGGCTTGTAAACAGGGTGGTTCTGCTCCTTTAGGAATTATATTTACTGAGAATTTTAGAAAAAATTCACATTATATTTAAAAAAAAAAGGCTTTAGTTTCATATTATACAAATAGAAATGTAGATTTATGCTAATCTGTGTTCACTAGTCCCTGCATCCTGCCGTTGCCCATCCTTGCTCATTACGAAGCTTCTAATAGGGGACTTTTGTACTGCATTAAATGCCCCCTCTGTGCCCCCCTTTTGAGGCGGGGGGTCAGGGGTTCTGTTTGGGCTGTTACAGTTACTGAGAGGGAATATGTTTTGGTCATAAGCAGCTGGATTCATGCCTATTTGTCATTAAGAGGCATTTAGTGTCTTGTTTCTAATTTCATAAAATTCTTAAGAAAAACTTGCATCTTTTTTATTCTTTCTCTGTTAGTTGTTCATCAACTCGAATAGAGCAAATGCAAACCGGGAGGGAAGTAAGTATTTAAACTATGATTAAAACTAATTATTTTAACATTTCATGGTTGAGAAGTGCAAAGGTGGAAATATTTCTGTGGATCCAACATAATACAGAGTTCTGAATATATTTTTATGGATTTTGTGGTTAATGGGTTTTCACAATAACACAGTTCAGCACGTACACAAGAACTGTAGGACTGAACATAAGCTAGGCAAACATAATCTTCCTCTTTTTGCCAAATTAATTGTTCCTTAAAGTGGCTCAAAACCAGGGTTTATTTCTAAATGCATCATGATTTCTTAAACCAGATTGTGTGTACACATTGGTTAGAATGCATAAAAATGGATTTAAAAGCAACCACAGCTGAAAAAAATACTGAATGCTTGTATTTGAAATCTAAACTATAATAAGAAAAGATTTTTTTAAACAAAGTTAGGCCTTTTCTGTTGGCAAAGTTTATGAGTAAAAACAATCTTTCTCCTTGCATTGTCAGGGAGTTCATGCAATCTTTTTATTGATGAATAAAGCTTGATTCTGGTGTTATTAATAGTGGTTTTCCCACAAATTTCTGCTTTAGTGGTGTAAGATCAGGTCCCCAGGAGTAGAAGGTGGGAGGGAAGAAAAGCCAGATGGCTGGGGAAGGGCACTTTTACAGCATAAGCTTTTAAATTAAGTTCTGATGTGAAGAATAAGGTAGGAACAACAAAGGAATGCTGGACCGCAGCTGTTGTCCTGTTAATGCGTCTGTTTTTATGTAGTCAGATCATTAACTGCTATGAAATGATATACATATGTGCCCTGTGTCTTTAGTGTGGGAATTCCTTTGGCTTTGGGTAGGACTCAGTAAAAGCCTTCTGATCATGTTTTTCCATCATAAGTACTTCTTTGTCACATTGGATGAACTCTCTCAGATGTTGTCATTATTGCAGTAAATATTGTTAAATGCCATTTTGCAGCTGCCAACATATGTACCTAATTAGAAATCCTGTTCATTAAAGACTACTGCTATGAGCAGATTTAGTGAAACCACTACCCCCAGATTGGACCTTTACTTGTGTTAGGTAGGATGGGGAGGGGAGAAAGGAAAATTTATCTGGAAAATGGAGTAAAGAGTTCTCCTTTCAGAATACTTAACCACATAGCTAATACTTCTCATGCAAAACTGAGTTAAGTGTCCAGTGTTTTTTTCTCAGTAAGAGATGTATTTGTAATGGTGTTTGGAACATTTTAAAACTGTTTACTTTTTGTAGGTGCGCAACTGGATAAGATAGGCTTCACCATCATCAAGAAGTGCATCAGTGCTGTTGAAACACGAGGTAATGATCAATGCCACCAAATACTCCTATTCATGGAGGGTGTGGAGTAGCTGATCTGCTCTTGGAAGAAGGCCTGAGTGATCTAGTCTCCTGTAATCTCTTGGAAAGACTTAATGCTGTAGAGGTTATACCTGATTATGCTGAACTGTGCAGGAGCTTTTTTCCGTCCAGTCCCAACCTTTTCTGCGTGCCTGTCATAGAATCATAGAATGCTTAGGGTTGGAAGGGACCTCTAGAGATCATCTAGTCCAACCCCCCTGCATACGCAGGGTCACCTAGAGCACGTGGCACAGGACTGCGTCCAAGCAGGTTTTGAAGATCTCCAGAGAAGGAGACTCCACAACCTCTCTGGGCAGCCTGTTCCAGGGCTCTGTCACCCTCATGTAATGTGTTTTCAAGAAGTGCTCAGGAGGTACTAATAGTTCCTCTCTAAACAAGGGAAGCCAGTATGGGCACAAGACTGCCAAATAACAGCCCTTTATCTTGTGGGCAGTGTTGTACCCTGTCTTTGCTTGTGCAGAGACTGTAATTAATTTTAGTATTTCATTCACTGGCTGTGAATAGAACTGCCCTGTCTTGCCATTCAAGACAAGAAAGGAGAGGACCTAAACAGACAAGAGAATAAGAAAACATACTCATATACTTCTGTTAGAGTTGCAGCCTCATTCCAGAGGCAAGGATGCTTATGTTACATGTCCTTCCTGACTGTTCTACCTCTAAAGGTGGAGTCAAAAGGGAAAGGAATACTCAGAGCAGTTTTCAAGAGGTGTTTTGATTTGTGACTGTGGAGAAGCTCTATGTCACACAGACTCTGTGCAAGTGGACACTGGATAAGATCAACATTTGATACAGCTCCCAAATGGGTAGGCAGCAGTCCTGGGACAGGGATGCTCAAATGCGAAATGACCACTCATTCTCAGTACACTTTTTATGGTATTATTACATGAGGATCCAGCCTGTTTCTTTGAAATAGAGAAGGAAAGAGGTCATTTGTTCTTGTATATTTCCAAGTGTGCAAACGGGACATTGAAATTTGTTGATGAAAATTTTTGATTTTCTCCTGAATTGTCAATCATGCTGCTCTCAAAAGGGAATCTTATGGTTGTCCAGGAGTAGTTGTTTTTTTTTCAGATTATTTGCATTTTTATGCAGAATATTTGCATTTTTCTTTATCTCATTGGTCCACTTTAAATTAAATAGTTGGATGAAATAAAGGTTGATCACATTTACTGTTAATGCAGTCTTGCTTGTTAAGCAGTGTCTTCCATGTATGTGCTTACTGTACAATTTAATTAATTAGATCAAGAAGCCTTTATGATACTAAGAATTCAGCATGTAAACACAAAGATTACAAAGAATTATCTGCAATCCTTTTCATGCTTTTTTTTGTATGTGTTAAAGATGTTTTTCTAGACTAGACCTTATTCTATCTCATGTTCTCTTGCTCATTTTCCTTATTTGAATGTTTGCCAGATTTTCCAAAAATGTACAGTGGATCTTCTCTGTGGACTAGGTGAGGCAGATTTTGTGAAAGGTGTGTGGTCATGTAATGAAAGGCTAGTTTTTGTCTGTAGCGCAGTGATTGGTTACTTTACCTTTAGAATTACACATACTGTAAGCAGTGTGGAGTCCTCTCTTAATTTGATTTGTTATCTACAGGTGTGTGCAGAGAACTTTCTTCACATAGTCTTTTTTTGCCTATCTTTAATAATCTGCAAAGAAAGCAGAACAACCAAAGCTATGGAAAAAGGGCAAAGATTTTGTGCATAAAGTGGTTGCTGGGAAAACCAGGTGGGATACAAGGTTTCTTCTGTATGGTTGTGAGTGAATAGATGGAACTGAAGGGTGGATAAAGTCCATTTCATCCTTTTTGTCCTGACTTAGCTGCATGTAAGAAGGCATAAATGTGCATGCAACATCACCTAATGTTGTTCAAAACTGATGGCAAGTTTGCAGGGATGGGAACAGGCTATCCTTGTAGTAGGATCTGCCTCGAAGCAAACTTTCAGGGGAGTCAAGGTTACCAGGGTTAACTGCAGTGTCTCCTTTCTTTGGAGACGTTCACCGTCCTTCGTTTGTAGGACTTGCAGTCAATAGAGTGCTTAGGGATAATTGCTAGAAATGGAAACAACTCTGGTTTATTAATTCTGTTCTAGAAAATAATTTAGGAAATTTAATATTTCAGTACTTGGAAAAAAAATTTCCAGGGGTTTCAGGAACAGGGTTTGGTAAGCTATTTATTAGCTTTAGGAACTCAGCAATCCCTCTAGCTCTGGTACAACAGAACATGATTTGGCAATAGCTTTCCAAGCAGTTGTTGATGGTTTTCTATTTAGTGATTCTGAAGGTAACATTAACTGCGTTAAAAAAAAGAAAGAGACTTTGTGCATGAGGCTAACTGGAGCATTCCCAAACTATCAGTTTCTGTTCTCTGTGACGCTGCAGGACCGTCTGCTGATGTGTGCTGAGCTCAACCAAGTAAAGCTTGGGAGAACATGTAATCGTTTGCCTTAGCAGGGATGGCTTTTTTTTTTTTAACCTATACTTGCTCTTCAAGCAATTTTACTTGATTATTTTACTTTAATGATAATATATCAAAGCTCAGCAGAAGGAAACAGGACAGATGCCTCTTCAGAGTTTGTGCTTCTGTGCCATGTTTTTATCTCTTGTAATCATAATGGGTGTGAGGTTGGCGTGGGAGGAAAGAGAGGACAGTCTAGTGTGGGCGGAAACTGAGAATAGTCTTGTCATGTCATTGCAGAAAAAGTCTGGTATTCAGAGAGAGAAGAGCATAACAGATATTGAACATAAACTTGTCAATGGCTGGGCAATTTTTCTCAGTTACGCTCCTTTTTATAAAGCCAAGGAGGATATTATTTTTCGCTGAATGAATAGAAAAATCAAAGACAGTGTCTCAGTTAAAATGTACATTAGCTTCTGATTTTTTTTTTTTGCCTGTCCTTCACCTGATGGGAGATGCTGAGGCATCAAGGTGGTGTTACACTGAGCTTGTCCCTTGCATAAGGAGCACAGTTTTGGTTGGATTTGCACCCATATTTCCTATCCGAGAGCACATTTCGGAATTCTATTTTGATTGTTCCACTGTATTTACAAATTTTTACTTGAAATAATACAGCAGGGGTAAAGGTTTATAGATACACAAAGGACCTGTTTGCTCCAATAATAAAGAGTTTGGATGTGTGTTTCTGTGCACCTAGTTGGTTGTATGTGCTGTGGACATGTGGTAGTTTAGCATTTCAGAGTAGCATTTGCCTTTATTTTAGAGTTGCAGAATTAACTGGTAATCTGCTCTGGGGAGACAGATGGCAGCATTGAGCTGTCGTTCTGTTTTTCTGTTAGTAAGGCAGAAGTAAGATGGTGAGGAGAAAACAGAGAGTCTTTTCACAGAAACAATCTGGTATTACCTTGAATTGTACATGTCACATGTGACTTTCTATATTATGAAATTTGATATAAAAAGTTACATCTGCAGGGCTATTAATATCCTCTGTTGCCACATACATAATGCCAACCACCAGGTAAATGTGCTTGCAGACATATCGTACCTACAGTACTGTAAATTATTTAGTTACAACACTTAATACTTTTAAGCATGTTTCACAAATCATTTGCCTCTGCCAGACTGTGGTGCTGGAGAGCCAAACAATTTAAGATCATGCATAGGTGAAGAAAGCTGCACTGCCGGATGTTGCTGCTCAAAGTTGTTTTGGTTGAGCCAGCAGTCCCCGTGCTTGAAGCTGTCAGCGTTTTGTTGCTGGTAAGCCATCGCTGCCATTCCTTGGAAACGAATCATCTTGTCAATTGTGTTCTCTAAATGCAAAGCATTATCAGTCTTCGATGTGCCTAAGATGTGAAATGTGCAGATTAAAACAGAAATAGAACTGTTTCAGTCTGGTGGTGTGTTTTATTTAAAACATCATGTAACATTATGTCTAAAAGTATTCTTTAAAACTGTATGGAAATATGAGTTCCTTCTCGAACTTCTTGATATCTATTAGCAATTAGCTGTTCATCTTTCAGGTTGATTAATTTGAACCTGATCAATTATCTGATAATTACTAGCACAAACTCATAATTATTGCTGACGCAGTGATTTCAGACACATGTCCCATTTCTTTTAATACCAAGCAGTGGTATTAAACTTCTGTGGTTTGGCCTGGATTGTTTAGAAACTGTTGCATGTATGCTACAGATGCTTGGGGTCTGTGCAGTTTTGTGCTTATTTGTTTTAATGTTAGAAGTGAAAGAAATTGATATACAGTCAAGAAATGGAACTTCTAAGATGCAGAAAAGCTGAGAGGCATGTGATTGCAATGGTGTTTCTTCAGGTTTTGAGGTTTTTGCATGTTTTGCAGAAGGCTTGTTCAGTGGTACTAGAAACACTGGTGAAGGTTGTATAGAAAAGCCTGACGCATTTTGGCAGAGCATTAAAAATCTTGGTGTTACCCAAATTTGTGCCCAAATTTTCTTGGAAACCTGTGAAAAATTTCCAGTAAAGAATAACTGCTGTTACCAGTCTAGATTCCTAGTGCTTCCTGGTTTGGAGTAGATTAAAGATGAAGTTTTTCTTTAGTGTTGGGAGTCCTTAAGTGTTGTATAGCATGTCATCACACTGTTGTTGTTGGGATCACTAGAAGACTTATTTGGATGGGTTTGTGTTTTGATAAGAATAGTCTTGTGGCCACATAACTGTGTTTGTGGTTCTTCCTTTGCACACAGCTGAGCTGTGGGCATGCTCTAGAGCTGTGCTTTTTGATGAACGTAGATGAAATACTGGAGATCTGATTTACTCAATGAATTTGGGCCAGCACTGAACATGACAGCATGCTGATCATCAGAGTCAGCATTATAGCAGTGGCACCAGTGTCCTGGAGAAGAGCAGGGCCTGTTTTACCCAGGTGGGGCTGAGAAAGCTGCTCTAGCTGGTGAGGCGGAGGGCTGAGCTCAGTGCGCTAGTTCTTGGAAACCTGGGCTGGATGAGGAGGCAGTAGTCAATGTGAGGAAGAGGAGAGAAAAAAGAAGCAAAAGCTGGAGCAGGACTAGGCAAGAGGAGAGTGTAGAAAGGGTGAAGTTCTCTCCACCATATTGAGAATTGCTGCTCTCTATTAAGGTGCATTCTATCTGACAGTCGTTCATTAGAAGGCTAATAATTTTTAAGTACTTCATCTAATATTTATTCAGGAAGAAACCTTTTCTCATATTACTGATTTTAATTTCCCTTCTCGAGGCTGGAACAGTTTGGTATTGAAACCATGAAATCTACCCAAGTCTTCTTTTGTTGAAGGATATTTTTAATAAAGATACCACATAGTCTGTTATTTAAAAAATATTTTTTGGAATGGAAGTACAGATGTTTCATGGCATTTTTACTCTTCCAGACCGATGTGTATAGAAGGGCAGACTCTGGTAGTGCTTGTGCTTATTATGCAGACATATATTCTCTAATATGTCAGCATCAGGACTGTAACGCTTCCTTGCCACTATACAGGCTCTACAAAGAAAACAATGGACCAAAAGACATACCTTATTTTGCTTTCTTCATTTCCTGCCCTTTGCCTCTCTCCCTTTTTTTGTTTTCTTTAATTTGTAATTTTAGTTTTACTTTCTTAGTGATAAAACTTAATGTGGTGGGGAAAAAAGGGGAAAAGTAGGGGAGGAAATGGCTTAGAGAAGTGAATGAGTTGAAAGGGAGGAAGGGCATGGAGAAATGGCATAATGGTGAGCAGTTAATAGACCTCAGTCAGAAATATAGTGTATTTGGATGATGGGTGAGCAGCAACAAATGGGAAGGGAAATCATTCCAGTGTCCATGGGGAATGACAACAGGGGGCTGCAAATATTTTGCTGGTTGTGGCTCTTCATCCCAAGCAAAATGTACTGATCTCTGTAACCTGTGGTTCTGCCTCTGAAGATAACTAGTATGTGGACTAGAATGTGGTTTGGAATAAAGTCTTGTATCAAAAATGAAAAGTCTGTACAGACTTGAAAAAGGATTGCTTTTAAGGCTGGGAATCAATTCAAATTTTTCTTTATGCAAACTTTTTTTCTTCAGCCATGTAACTGGAAAAGCAAATTTTGACTTATGAAAGAAATCTTGATTTAGCATTTCTCAGTTCAATTCTTGCCTTATTAGAATGTGAATACTGATGTGTCCAAAATGTCATAGAAAAATCTGAAAATAACCAGTGATTTTTTTTTCCTGCTGCTTCTCTCTATATCTGAAGTGGAATTGAGGCATATGAAACCTTTTTCGAAATGTAATGTGAGCTTATCTTGAACACATGAAAGACGGAAAGAAAGGGGTCTTGCAAGGCTTGATTTATAATGTTGTTTTCTGAATTGTGGAAATGCTGTATATGCTGTCCACCTTTTAAGGAAAATCTGTTGGTCAAGGAAAGGTTTTAATGCGACATTTTACTGTATATCTTGTTTGCTTTGGTTGAACTTCTGCTGTTTTCTTTTTTTCTTCTTTTGTATAAATAGGTATAAATGACCAAGGATTGTACAGAGTTGTGGGAGTGAGTTCAAAGGTCCAGAGACTACTGAGTTTGTTGATGGGTATGCCTCTATTTTATCTTCTTTCTTTTTCCATATTTTAAGTCATCTGTTTTACTGTTAATAATTAGTATTTAAAGCATCTGCCTGTGTTTGTTCTTTATATGGGCCAAATCTAGTTTGCCTTTCTCCACTTAAATAATCCCCAAACCACTGTAAGGTCCTCAGTTGAGTGCAGTGAGCAAGATTAGTTGGTAAGAACAAACTAAGACAACAGCTAAGGAACATTGTAGGAAGAAATCATGGGTTTTGTGTAAGGTTGGTGTAAGAGATATTAAAACAATTTGAGCTTAAGATTCCAAATAGGCAGGTTTAGGAAAGCTTGGAGCGTATTGCTTCATTGTTGGAAACTTCCATCTTTCTTCTCCCTTAGTAAGATGTACAGATGATTGTCCCTGTCGGCCTTTAGTTGATCATAATGCCAAGCAAGACAGTTAGTAACGGAGTCACAGAAGGGTTGAGGTTGGCAGGGACCTCTAGAGATCATGTAGTCCAACTCCCTGCGCTGGCAGGGACACCCAGAGCACGTGGGCAGGGACACTGCATTGCAGTGACTGTGTGAGCCCAGCTCAGCAGCTCTGCTCCCCCCATGGGCTTTCAGGTACATGAAGTGAGGCCCTGTGTCTGGCACCTCCTTCCAAAGCTGCCTCTTGTGAGCGCACAGTTGAAGCCCATCAATGAAGAGTTGTTTGGTAATGAGGAGGAATGTGATATACGTATTTATAATAATTACGCCTGTGCTAAAGCAGGAGAGAGACAGGGGAAAGGATTTGTTTTGAAAAATTTAGTAATATTACTCTATTTTGTGAATAATAATTTAGATTCTCTTACACGCAGCTTTTATTTTTATTTTTTATATGGCATTATTCTCATATTTTTTCCCCTTTTCTTTCTTGAAATTTAAGGTGCAAATAACCCTTTCCCTTCTGGAAATTAAGGTGCAAATAAGTAGCTGTGGTTTGCCTGCTGCTCTGATGTCTCTGGGCGTGGGGGAAGGCACCTGGATGAAATCCCTTGTCTGCCCTGCATTTCTAGCTAAAATAGTAGCCATGACTGCAAGATGTGCTGCATTCCCAAATTTCTTGTCCTGAGCACTGACAGTACATGCAGTCAGACAAGACCACTGGGATTAGTTCATTTTTACAGAGCTTCCAAACCTGTCACTTGACAGCAAAGGTCTGATTCTCAGGGATTCATTGGTATGCAAAGAAGCTTGTTTGCAGTTTGCGCCAGGCTCTTCTCCAGAACCATGCATGCTCCATCTGTGCTGATAACACAGTGTTCTTTGGCACTGCAAACTGGAGGAAGCCAGAAAGTGAATTCATTTCATTACCCCAGACATTATGTGAATGACAAAGCGCTTTTATATTATATGCTGCTGTCAGTTCAGTGCCACCTGTAAGACTTTTTCTTTCCCTGTTTTTTTTTTTCCTTCTTTAAACAGACTATCTCTCCAGAAATGATAACACATCAGACTTGAGGGTCTGTATGTCATATCAATCTTTCATAATGACCTTGCTAAATTTTAATTTATGATATCTTTAATCAATATTAACAGTGCCGAAGTTTTCATTAGTGCATGTAAACCTGCCTGTGTCTTTAAAGTATTGTAGAAAGAAACACCTTTTGGAAATACAACGGAGGATTAATGAAAATGACTGACCTACTCCAGATTCATGGTTACGATGCAACCAGTTCTCATGGTTGCTTATCTGTGTTGGAATTATCCATTAACCATAAGAAAAATGGCCTGTCATTAATCAAAAAGCCTTGATATCATAAGCATTTGATATCATAAGATGTTTTTCAGTTTTGTACTTACTAGCTTAGCTTCGGCATGCAGGTCTGGCTTGCAAATTTTCCTCTTTGCCATTAGTGGTATCCAAATTAAATAGACTCAGGTTGCCAGTGGTTCAGTAGCAGCTGGAAACGTTTACTGGGGATTCCAGCAGCTGCTTTTAGTTACTTTTTAAAATTAGAAACTTTTTTTTCTCATTTCCAAGATTCATATACTCATCTGAAGTAGGAAGAATACTGTGGTATCAAGATAAGACAAAGCACTGAACAGAAAACAGGGTGCAAGCAGGTGCTCTTTTTCAGATAATTTGTTGAAAGTGATCCTATCTGTGCTCTTTATCTGCCTATTCTCAAAGAAGAATAAAGAGGGTTTCATTTTTATATACAGCGATACAGAGAATTTAAAATGACAGATTAAACTTTAATCCTTTGTCTCTGGGTATACCATTAGATATCCTTTTATATGAAAGCTCTTTTCAGCATCATAAGGAACTCATATTAACTTTCGGTGTTGTAAAACGTTTAATAAGATTTCTAAGTATTTTAAGCTACCCATCATTAACCATGAGGTCTGCAGTCTGAATGGTCCAAAGTTCCAAAGGGTAACCAGAGTCATTGATAGTTTGTTGGTTCTGCCTCTTTCTCAGAAGAGTTTTTACAAAATCAGGCAAAGTATATTGAGTCATGAGAGCATCAGAAGACCAAAATATGGGCTTGCTTTTTGAATACTATGAGTATACAGATTTTCATCTTTCATTGAAAAACATTTGTGAGACTTAAGTATTATATAAAGTGAGGCTCGACTATGAAATGTACAAGTCAGCTTAAAAAAAAAAAAAAGGTAGTTTTGCAATTAAAAGAAGAATCCTTGAAGTTGTTTGTAAGCAGCATTGTGTTAACGTGATCTGGCTTTTGACATTCATCATTTAAATTTGAATGACAAAGGCATTTGGTACATGAAGCACTCGTTTTCCCTTGACATGTAACATTAAATTAATTTGTAATGTCCCACTGTAAACAGGGATACAGAGTTATGACTTCAAGTATTCTGGGAATCTCTGTCATAAGCAGTTCAGGTGCATTGCCAGCCATCAGGAGGCTCAATTCTTGAAGGGGATCAGGGATCACTTCCTATTTCATCTATAATCTGCCTAATAACATGGAGTGGTTTATTTCATAAAAGCTACTTGCAACAGGGCAGCTTTTATACAGTCCCTCTCTGTGAAGAAGTGACTGCTGAGGACTTCAAATTTCTAATCCTGAGTTCAATTTTAACTTCTGATACTGCCTAGTGTCAAAAAATGGCATCACATTTTGTAGCAGCAAAGTTTGAGAACACATACCTTTCCAAAACTAGCAGCTTTCAAAATGATTACACTGAATTCCTTGTTATTTTATATACTGTAAAAGACAGTATGCATACACTTTTACAGTGGCATTTTATATATTAGGACAGAAAGAGATATTCTTCTAACCTAGTTTAGTGAACTGGGCTGTTTTTTATAAACCTTGGCTCCCTTATTGTCAGAAACATTTGCATAAAATTTGGAGTTGATCTGTCAAAAGCTGTTCTGTAAATGTGCATGGTTATTTTTATAGGCGTGAAGTTGCCACTCAATGCACAGTGGCTGCTACAAGAGCAAATAGCATGAAAACTAATAGAATCAATTTAGAAATCCCAGTTGAAGTTCCAGCTCCTATAATAGCCTGGGATGTTTGAAGTGGAGGGAGAAGTAAAACAGAGCTCTGTGGTTTTGTATTTGTTACACATATAAAGGGTAGGGTGGAGAAAGCTGCGTAAAGTAACTGTAAAACCAAAAGCAAAAACATGTCTTTCAATCTTGATGGCTTCTACAACCAAATTAGGGTTTGTTTGAGATTGGTAGTGGGACCAACTTGGCCAAGGGACCATGAAATATTTCAGCAATACCATATTTTGAGGGGGTTAATTTTTGCAGTTCTAACTTTTTTTTTTTTTTTTTTGTCTTCCCCACACTCATCACCAACAATTTTCATGTAAGCAGGTGCATCCTTGCTGTAAAGGATGAAGAGGTTGTTTGAAAACCCTGAATATTGCATCGTGGTTTAATTAAAAAATCATCACAGATCTCCTTGGTTTCTAATGTGTGACAGTTTTTTTTTTTCGTGAATTTAGTAGGAAGGTTTCCTGTTCAAAAAGGAGAAGGTAATTTCGGAAGTTAACATGTTGAAAGGGGAGAGGAGAGGAGTAAATATTTCCGTTAGATGATTTTGAAGAGTTTGGGTGGTGGTTGGCTGGTAGGGTTTTGGTAGAAAAAGTTATTTGACTTGTATTTTAAAATGATATTTAAATAATTGATATAATGAGGGAGAATATTCAGTTACAGAAATAATTGGTTGGCACAGCCTTTAGAACAGAATTATTTAGTGCCAGTGAAAGGACTGCACCTTTAATCAGGGTGCTTAATTTTTTTTAATGTATTTGTCCCTATTAATGGAGGGCTTTCTTTTTTATCTTTTTTTTCTTTCTTTCTTTGTTTCTTTTTTGAAGATTTTTATAACAGTGTTTCTAACTTTGACAAAGATTCTGTCATCATTTTGGCTTTGCTTCTATATATGAGACTGATTTAGAATTACTTTTTTTTTTTTTTCTTCATTCCTCCCCTGCATGCTAGATGCAAAAACCTGCAATGAAGTTGATCTGGAAAACTCTGCAGACTGGGAAGTGAAGACAATTACTAGTGCTATGAAGCAGTACCTGCGGTAAGTTTCTTCCATTCCCTCTCCCCAAGACTATGAATTTCATATTCTAGTTCTCCTATGTTATCTATTGTTGCAATACTTAGTTTTTCCATATTTTGTAACAGAAGTGCTTTTTTGGAGCAAATATCACATTTATTATTTCTCTTAGGGAAAGCAAAGTAAAATTATTCAGCAAAAGTCATATTCACATTGGTATGAAATAAGCCCCAAAATATTTTTGTATTATTAGGTATGCAACTATTTCACTACAGAAGTATCTCACTGCCGATTCAGAAAACTGAAGTGCTAGCAAACTTGTTGAGAGTTATTACTTAAATTCAACTTAGAGTGAGTTTTTGCCTTTTACATTTTAATATGTTGCAATGACAGGGGGAGAGATTATGAAATTTTTAATATTTTCGCTGTGTCCTTCATGGGCCTCACTCATGTTCTAGGTGAAGCACTAAAAACAGTAATAATATGCCGCTTGTTGAAAGCTAAAAGTCTTGGATGTGTTCTGTATTCAAATGACTTGTCTAATTCCTGATCAAAATACTGTATTGCCTAAGAATATAGAGCTCTTGTGATACTGCATACAAATGAAGTATCCTTAATCTTCTTTTTTATTCAAGGAATTGCTACTGTAACCACTCTCAAGATAAAGTCAGCCTTAGAGGAATTTCTAACGATTAGGAAAGAGTAAAAATGATGTGCCCATAGTAGAGTATTTCCCATCTACAGTATATCCCATCTGAGTGTTTACTACAATATTTCATAAGCATCAATAAAAGCAACTTAATAAATGAAGGTTTTAACGCTGACATTTTTACTCTGGTATCCATTATTCAGTACATTTTTCATTTATGATTAAGTCTTTCAATTTCAGTTTCTCCATTTGAGATTTAAAATTTGATTTGCAGAAGGTTGGTGTTTAGTAAATTTAACTGTTTTAGGATTTTATTCTTTTCCATCAAGGCAGTGATTTGTGATTGTTTGTTCTTTGAAAACACTTGTGAACAGTGATTACGCAGTATATGTATAATATACAATTTTCACCTGTGAAATGTGTCAATATTGTAGTTGCAAAAGGTTCTTAGGCTAGCTTGGAAGCATCAGTTTAGCTTCGAGAATATGAATGAATATATTTAGCCCTATTTTCCTCAGCTTTCCCTCTTGGTGTACAGGTTTTCCATTTGCACTAGAAATCACTGAAATCCAAGGGCCACGCTGAAAACAGTTTCCTCCAATATGAGGATCCCACTACTAAAAGTTAAAAAGCTTTCCTGCTTAGAATAAATACATATAGAAATGGATACAGATAAATATATTTATGTCATCCTTGTTTTACAGAAGCCTTCCAGAGCCCCTAATGACGTACGAGTTACATGGAGAATTCATCGTTCCTGCCAGTAAATATTTGAATATAGTTCAAATAGAAATCTTTCCTGATAGTACTGTTGTGTCTCAAGAGCACACTGCAAATGCAGTTTAAGAAAAACCAGTCAACCCAGTAAAAACATAGGTATAAGAAATAATAAAAGCTTTAAAAATATGGAAGTTTTAACAGACAAGTTTTTGGCAAACTTAGCATAGTGTGGTACTCGTGTCTATGTAAAAAGTTTTGTCTAGACATTTAGAATATTCTTTTGTATTACCTTAATTGTATAAAGATAAACATCCTGTAAAGGGATTGTGATTTTTTTTTTCTTCCATTTATGAAGCATGCGAAGCACAGAGAATATTCTAATTCCGGCTCGTTTGAATCCTTAAGACACTGTTGCCTGACCCTTGTTTTCAGTATCTTGTTAAGTCTACATTGAGCCCAGCTTGACTGTTCCTCATATCTTAGTAGAAGAAAGGAAAGTATGGGCCAAATTACACTACGGCAGTTAACATATAGATTTGGAGAAGAGGGAATAACAGTTGTAGTTCTGCTGTACAGTGTCCAATGTGCATGGAATTTTTGGAAGATGATGGAGGAAAACTGTAAGAAAAATTTTGGCAAAATATCCAACAGATATTTAGCTGTTTTGCTTTCTAGCCTGTGGCATTTCTGGCATACTGTGGAAAGTAAAAATAAACTTTGAGACAATTGCATCTTCTTCCTCACTTTGCTGCAATGATTTTACAGAACTGCAGAATGTGTTTGCTTAATTCAAAATGAGAATTTGCCCATGAAATTCACTGCCTCAACACATCTTGGAGTCCAACTGCTTGAGCAGACTTGCATCTGCCCATTTGTATTAGAAAGTTTTAAAGTCATTTCTTGACCTATGGAATTTTGCCAGCACTTTCTCACAGTATTTTCCCTTTTTTATTTTATAGTCTCCTTCATAAGTGAATTAAAGTGAAGCTACTTATTTTAGTGCATTATTCATAAGTAGCAAGCATTTTTCTAGAGGCACTAAATCTGTGTACTTGGGAAGGAAAATTTAATCAATATTGCAGACTTTGGTTACTATATATTTGAAAATGGGGGAATAATGAGTATCCTTTTCTCTGCAACTCTTTAAAAAAATTCTCTTTTCAACTACCTTGCCTTAAATATGCAATTTTAGATTGTAAGTATATAAGTCTTGACAGCATTTTGTGATTAATTTGCTTAGCCATTTCTTAATTGGGATCTGTGATTTCACATATATGTAAAACACACTTGCTTTAGAAAAGACTTAGGTTGTTGCATCTGTCTGAATTTTGATTTTGTCTGATTAGAATCTAAACTTTTTGTCATTTTGCATTTTCATGACTTTTTTTTTTTTTTGCCTTGCAATTGGTCCAGGCCTATTTTCTGTGAAAGAATTAAAAAGAAAAAAATAATGTATGACAGTATGTTCTGAAGAAATACATAGGCCATTTATTTAAAATGTACTTAAAATAAAATGTGATCCAGTGTGCAGTTCTGGTATCAAACTTCTTGCACTCAGAGTAGATTCCCAATTTTTCTGTTTATACGTAGGTACATAGAAGGGAAGAGAAATACTTCCATTCCTTTCATTGTAAGCTACTACTCAGGTGTAATTCTGTGCCTTACCAGAGCTTTGAGAAATAGGATTGTGTAGATGTGGTGTTATTAGCTGCATAGTAGTAGCAAAACTGAATTCTAGTGATGAGGACAACTGATGCTGTGATGTGAAGAAAGTCATTTTCACTCTGGCTTCTTACAAAGCTGCAAGAACCACCATCTCTGTCACCTTGTAAGCAGGATATTTGTAAGCAGATGATTTTGATGCAGCAGAATAATAACTACATCTGTCAGTTTTCAAATATAGACCAACAGACAATGCATCCTTTTGCAGGTGGAGTTAAAGATAAGTTCACAAAATAAGTAAATACGCAGATAGTTCTAGAACAAGATTACTTATGAAAACAAAGCGCATATGTTCAATTTTGCTATGTTTGGAGATAATGTAAGTGTTGCAGTGGAGTGTGTACAGTATGTTTCTGTGCAGGGGTGGGAGAGACTTTGTGTTTCTGTTTCTGTTCGTTGGTTTGTTTTTGAGATACAACTCTCTGTTTCTATGTCCTATAGAAAGTGGGAGTCCAGATTCTCGAGTTAATGCCATTCACTTCTTGGTCCATAAACTTCCAGAAAAGAACAAGGAGATGTTGGACATTCTGGTGAAACATTTAGCAAAGTAAGCATCCTGACCCGCTTCATGTTTTGCCAGAGCTCTTGTCCTAGCTTTGTTTAACTATGAAGGGCCTAGTTAAGTGGGCCCGGAGCTGAAGCCCATCACGATGCTGTCATACACAATACCAAGAACCAAACGTGCAAAAGCAGACAAGACGTTTGACTTATGCTGTGTGTATTTTGGAGGAGAAGGCAGAAATCTAATCCATTAATGAAGCCATATAAGTATTTACTTTAGCAGACCTGCCAGCCATTGAGGTTTGATTGAAGTGAGAAAGGGAATATTATACTTTCTTTTTGCAAATTCTGGCAAAGGGAATAGTGGAGATCTGTTAGCAAATTTAGGTTGGTTTCACACTTCCCCTGGTCCAAGGCTAAGTGCATTGTATATACTTGAGTTAATAAGAGACTGCTTTTGTTTTTAAATTGCCAATGAAAGAATGACTTTTCTGTTTTCCAGAATTTAGTATGACTTTATTTGAGGTAACTTAGCACAAAACAAACTTCTAAAACTTGGATTAAGGAAATGTAATGTTTTCACTTGTAAAGTAGACTGCAGTTTCCAACAGTAATGGAAATTTTTCATAACCTATTTCCTGTTTTTTCCTTCAATTATTTTCAAAAAGTGTTTCAAAGCATGCCAAGAAGAATCTAATGACTGTAGCAAATTTAGGAGTAGTATTTGGACCAACCTTAATGAGGCCACAGGAAGAAACTGTAGCAGCCATCATGGACCTGAAGTTTCAGAATATCGTGGTCGAAATCCTCATAGAAAACCATGAGAAGGTAATGTTTGGTGAACCTCCGCACTTCTTGAAATGAATTGCTAGGCTTACTGTGTAGCCTGAAGTTAAATATCATATTATAAGTTATTTGAATCTAAAGAGCATGTTCTGTATATTGTATAGTTTTGGCTATTTGTGCTTAATAAGCCCTCCTGTATGTGTCTAAAATGATATTTCAGTATATACACATATCCCGACAGTCACTTCTGTATATATACTGTGCAACCAGACATTCATTATCATATTTGCATATGCTGTGTTATCAGCAAATATGATACAGGACTGGAAAAGAGAAAGCCAAGGTCCAGTTTTCAGCCTCTTTCATTAGGGCAGGTTGGTCAAAGTAGTTTAACCAACAAATAATGGCTTTGTGTCTTTTGTTGTTGTTGTTGTTGTTTGTTTTTTGTTTTTTGTTTTTCTCACAGTATTCACACAGTAGAAACGTGACTTTAACGTTCTATGAATTTTGTAGATAAAAAGGCATTAAGAGAGAGCTAGGTGTTTAACATTTCCTTGTGTTTCAGCTGTATATGTGTTACTTTAAAACTTTGCATTTGAGGTAACGCTGAATATGGAAGTTGCTGCTGTGGCAGCTGTCTGTTACCAAGATACCTTACCCAAGCAAGCTGCTGCCCAGTGCAGATGCCCAGAATTATCACTGCATGTGGTCTGGACTTGAGAATCCATAAAAGAAAGCGTCAAAAAACCCAAACCTTACTGGTTTCGTTGTTAGGCTGGTTGTTTGGGAGTGCTTTGTGTCCGAGCTGACTTCTGGAAGTCTGAGATGATCTGCTTGTCTGGACCAGCTTCTTCTGTTGTCTTTTATTCTTTCTTGGCTGGGATGCTGGGACAGTGGGCAGTATTTCTCTCCCCTTCTGAAGAAAAAAAAATGCTTTCTTGAATTCTAGGATGTGCTTTCTTCCCTCCACCACACTGCCTTTTTCTTAGGTCTCTGAGCAGTGAAATAGTGACCTTTTAAAGGTCAACAGTGTTGAAATTGGCTATCTAAGTCAAGTCTTATCTACTCTAAATAATGTCCACCACAAGTTTTTCTGACAATGTAATTATGCCAGCTCCCTGAATGATGTGGACAAGGCAGGACTTCTGTTGGTATAGCTGTATCCACATGGTGGATTTTGTTGGCTCAGTTGACTTTGTGTAGAATTACACCCTGATGCACGCATGCACATGCACGCAACCTTTTGGCAGATACTGTTCTGCTAGAAAAATATTGTGCTGCAGATATGACTGAAGTCCTTAGAGATAAATATTCTAAGAGGTGTAAGCTGCTGTTCATTTTGGAATCTGTAAATGAAGGTAAGCCTTGGAATAAGCTTGTGATTTTGAGGCTATTGCAGTGACTGTACAAATTAAGAAAATGGAGCAAGTAGAGCCAGAATGCTTCTATGGTATATGGAAGCTGAATTTAGTTCTATTTATTCAAATAGCTGCTTCAGCCTGGTTTAGAACCAGTCTGTTGTTGTGCAACCTTAGTCACTTTTGTCTTCAAAGACCTCAATTTCATGTTTGAAGCATTAGTTGTGGAGGCTTTTCTTGTTCCTCTGAAAATGCAGAGAAGGTCTGGGAATGGAAACTACCTCAGGAATGATGCTGCACCATTTTCCACAATTTTTATGCCTTCCTTAGAACTAGGGTGGCTAATATTTTTTAAAAGGAAATTCTGTCATTTCATTTCTAACAGTGAACTCACCCTCAGTGGTCTGCCTGCATCGGCCTCTCTCCCACGCTCGAGCTGCTTCCAAGATGGAAGGGAAGCCCTAAGTGTGACCTCTGTGTATTTATAGCAGAGCTGGTGGAGGGGTGTGTATTCAGGCACTGCAGCAATCTCATAGTCAAATTCAATATGTAGCTATTACAAATGAGCCTTCATCCCTCAGGACAGACCAGGAAGTTACTACTAAAGGCAGGCAGGCTTATTGTCAGCCCAATGCTCATTTTATATTGTTATTTTGATTTTCTGTGTGTTTCAGGCTTCCTAAGAGTCAACAATTTATGTTTATATTTATAGTCCTAGTAAAGTCCCAGGAAAAGTCACCTGCATGACTTTCAACTGTTTGATGCAGTCGTTAATCTGCTTCTTTGCTAATTATTAGCAACTTCCGGTATCAGAAGATAAAGCTGGGGTTATTGAAGTGTGATAGGGTCAAGATGGAGGTGTATACCTTGGAAAGTACACCTTGAAGCCATGCTTAGCACTGTGACAAGGCTTTTTTTTTCCTCTGTATGACTGAAATGACAAACAAATGACTAACAAACTTCCAAGCTGTAGAAACAATAGCAATAGTCATTTCCAGACTGAATGCAATTATTTGATTAGCAAAATGGTAAAAATCATTATGATTTCTCAAACTCTTTTTAAATTCCATTTGTGTTTATTATGCCTTTTTATGTGGACAGCTTTAGTGAAAAGCTGTGCAATTCATTTTCAGTAGGAGACATAATTAATTGTGTTACTAACTTTGAAATTCTGGTGCAGTAACTCCACTCTCCTCACTCTGTTGAGTCCTAATTAGAGAGCTGCTCTGCAATTTGTATGTGGAAAACTGGATCTGGGGACCTGCCCTGGGATAAGAATATCTTGCTTAATGCAGAAGCTGTCTTATTTTAAAAGCTTTGTTGATAGCACCTTGTTTCCTGCTAGCTAGAAACCAGCCAGTGCAACCTTCACCTTATTTAGAGACTGCATAGGCACTTCCAAATTATGAGTGGGAACCACTCACAGTTGGTTGAAAAGGAGATGCTTTGCAAATACCAGGACCACGGATAAGACTGAACACCGGAAAACTCTGGCTGTTCAGCCTCACAGGTTGTTTAACTGCTTTAGAATTGCCTCATGATTAAGACTGGAAAGGGGCAGAGTAATGCATGAAGAAAATATTTATTTAGCTTTTTGTCTTGTAACTTAATAGATGAATCTTTCTCAAGTAGCAAGTGTTTCTCAGCTGCAGAATCAGGTCTCTACTTAGAGTCAAAAGGGGAAAACAGACCTGAGCTGAGACAATTTTTTGCCCAGGACTCTCAGAATCAACAATTGTGGAAGGGAGGCAACTTCCCAGCCCATCCATGGAAAAAGAGACCTGTGAATTATCTTGCTTCTGCTACATGGCTCTAGGGGATGTGCATATGCAACTTCGATATTCAAAGGACTAGCTTTGAATATCAAAGTTTTGTGCTGGCTGGCTGTGTGCATCAGCCCTCCTCTTGCCCTTTGCTTTGAATTTTTTTGATGTCAATGTCATTCCATGCTTGTTCGCCTCTCTTGTCCTCTTATATCTTGTCATATCTGTCTGGTCCCCTTTGTTTTCTATGTTCTGTATCCTTCTCTTTACTAAAAAAGCATCAAGGGATTCATGCCTATTATCGTTGTGTTCATTTGCTCTGAAGCAAAACCTTTTCTTGGTGCCTTTTCTGAGATAACGAACTTGGGGTCTGACTACTGCTGTGTTAGTACCATGCCAGAAACAATCTTTCCTTGTTCTTGAACACAGCAATCCTGTGATAAATAAGGATCATCAGTTTGGACCAAAAGAAGGTGTTACCTTGTCTTTCCCTTCCTCCCTGTACCTCTCACTTCCCACCAAATAGTTTTGGAGGACAGAAATTTATTTTTCTTCTCAAGGATTTTACAGACTCGGACTCTCTGGTATCTCAGCACCTCTGGTCTTGTTTTCTGAGTTGCACAAAGGAAGAACAGTACGTTCCACACCTGCATGAAGAACATATGTGTGTTCTTGCTGTACTTTATAATGTTATGGCATGTGAATGTCACCATTCAAAGGGGTTATTTATTTGTCGTCTAGAGATGCTTCAATGGTAAAGTGAGCCATCTTGGTTTCTCAGTTCCTTGAATATCTTTTTAAGAGGAAAAAAAACAGGATAAAAAAAAGAAGGCTAAGAAATGGAAAATGATGAGAGAGGAGGTTGAGAAAAAAAAAAAAGTAATGGGACTGGAATATGGAAACCAGCATGTTGGGCAGAGAGAAGGAGAGAATAGTGAGCACAAATAGTAAGACTGCAAAATTTGAAAGAAGTTGGAAATAATGGTGAAACAAAGTTGGGAGAAGAGAAGAGAGAGAGAGTCTAGATAGAAGTCTCTTAAGGCAATTAGGAAGCTAGAGTCTGCTGAATGGGGATGTTCATAGTGAAAGATATATATTTTTTTCTCTAGAGTTCAGACAACCTGTACGCAAAATTAATGATGTTCATTCTGAAAAAGTGTGCAACTTCCTATGTAAAGAACAAAGATGTCTTCACTTGTTTTCTTTGTTCATCTTTTAATAAAGGACAAGGATTTTGCATTCTTAAGACAAAGTATATCTTCATTTTTAACTTTATGTTTCATCATAACATAGTTATGGAGAATTTTTGCAGGGTTTAATTTCTTGTTCTTTAAGTAGGCACTTTATTAATTTTTTTAAGCTAAAGAGAAAACATTCAGACTGCTAGGCCCTTAAGCCAAAATCAGTTTCATGTAGTAATACTTAAAAATCTTAGTCTTAAAACAGGTCACAGTATATAATAGAATATTAATGATAAAGATGGGAAACCTGGAAGCAGGTGAAGTCCGCTGCGTGTTTGAGAGTATGAAGTGGTACCATCAGGTGTGGACCATGAGTCTCCACTTACAGAGACCGCCGGGCCATAACCACAGCGTTCAAAGGGGTTCTGCTGCGGGCCAGTCATTAGGGTGCAGTGGCACTGGCATCGTTTATCATTTAAGACCCTTTTTGTTTGTTTGTTTAGTAAAAGAGCAGATCATTTAAAGTGCTGGTAAAGGCACGTATGAGAAGTACTAAAAAAGGCCCGTTTCAACTTGCATACTGCTTTTCGTTTTTCTACAATTAGGGGAGCAAGAAGGAATTCACTGCAATTTTGGTGGTTTGCTGTGGCGTAGCAATTTGAAACATCCCCAGGCTGATTGTTTCTTGAGTCAACAAGTGTTTGACTTGGGAATGAGGGTACACTAAGACATCTTCAGTT